TGAAAATGTCTTCATATTCTGTATCTAACACTTCTCAAACACTTTTTTTTTCCCCCTTAGTACCAGGAATTGAACCCAGGGGCACTTAACAACTGAATCACCTCCCCAGACTTTTTTTTATATTTTATTTAGAGATAAGGTCTCACTGAGTTGCTTAGGGCCTCAATAAGTTGCTCAGCCCCCCAAGCCTGCCTCAGCCCCCCAAGCCTCTGGGATTACAGGCGTGCACCACTGCGCCCCGATCAATCACTTTTTAATTGAGTTACTAGTGTCTATATTTTTCCATGCAGCATCCTGTATGCCTTTCACAGTCTTGTTGAGGCAATGTTTCTTTAAAAGGTACCCTACTAGGCTTCTGAAGTAGCTCAATGATAGAGCATCTGCTTAGCAAGACAGAGGCCCCAGGTTCGGATTCCCAGATCTTCTTCCAAAAGCCACCGTAGCCATTCTGGTGCTGACACTTGATCTTACACCTTGTTATTGTTTTCTACATACATGATAACTTTCTGTCTCAATGTCAAATCATAGTATAATCTTTTCTGAAAAAAAAAAAAATCTGTACCAGGCACAGTGGTGCACACCTGTAAACCCAGCAGCTTGGAAGATTGCAAGTTCAAAGCCAGCCTCAGTAGCTTCATGAGGCCCTTAGCAACTTAACAAGACCCTGCCTCTAAATGAAATATAAAGAGGGCCGGGGATGTGGCTCAGTGGTTAAGCGCCCCTGGGTTTAATCCCTCCTACCAAACAACAAAAAAGTTGTAATGGGCAATTGAACCCAAGTCATAAACAGAACCACAAAACTCCATAACTAAATAGATACAATGACGCATTAGGTAGCTATGACCAGTACGGTGCATACGTGGGCAATGACGATTATATTCATGAAAGACACCTGACTCGACAACAATTGTAAGATTTTCTATCAAAATGTGAAAAGATGAGTACCTGAAGATCAACAAAATATATTCATCTATATTAACAGCTTCATTGTCTATAATAACAAAAACTTTAAGGGGGGAAAAAAAGCAAATATCCTTCCACAGTGAAGTTAATAAATTAGTGTACCTTCATACAATGGAATACTTTGCTTCCCTCAAAAAGAACGACACGACATTACATGAATTGGTATGAAAGTATGTCCTTAGAATATTGTAAAGCCAAAAATTAAGAAATTTTTTAAAAAAGCAAGATGAAGACTGGTTCACATATAATGACTGTATTTAACACGTTACATGACAGTAGTGGTGGGTCTGTGGTGCTTCCTCAGAGATCTCCCGCTGCTTCTTGATTGGGAAATGACATTGTCACTCCAGGTCACCTTCCTGCATTATAGGGGCTTTATGGTTTGAACCACAGGCATCGTGGACCCAGGATTCTAAATCTTTTCCTCCTGCTTTCAGATCTCTTGCTATAAAAACCCTTTAAATGCCCTTGTCTCTCATCCTTCACTGGCTCACTTGCAGTGGCCACTCTTTCTCTACCTCCCCCACCTACTGGGCTAACCCTAAAATTGAAAAACCGAACCTGCAAGAAAGTCTCAGAGAAAACTGGGCTCCTAGTTAATCAAATTATTTGGAACTTTGTTTCTGCTTCATTATGTGGGAGAGTAACTCTGAACAAATTCAGTCATTACTTCCTCTCTGCTCCTAAAGTACCCTGTAAATACTACTTTATGCATTTTATTATTGTTATTATCATTAATATTTTGGTACTGAACTGAACCCAGGGGTACTTTACCACTGAGCTACATCCCTGGTCCTTAAAAAAGAAAAAAAAATTTTTTTTTTTTTTTTTGAGACAGGGTCTCATTAAGTTACTCAGGGCCTTGCCAATTTGCTGAGGCTGGCCTCAAATTGTGATCTTCCTGCCTCAACCTCCCAAGTCACTTGGGACTATGGGTATGCACCACCACACCTGGCCTATGCATTGTATTACTGACCCTGGTCTATCGTCAGCATTGAACTAATCTTTGTGTTAATCTTTGCTAGTGTCTAGGACAGTGGCAGTCACAGCATTTCTCACTGCTTATATGCAAACAATGAGCAGTAAGAGGAAAGCTCAAGGCTGGGGTTGTAGCTCAGTAGTAGATCACTTGCTCCTCATGTGTGAGGCACTGGATCCGATCCTCAGCACCACATAAAAATAAACAAATAAAATAAAGACATGCTGTTCATCTACAATTACAAAAAAAAATTTAAAAAGAGGAAAGCTAAGCAACTAATATTGTATTAACCCAATGAAATAAAGGTACTTGAATAAGACAATTTCAGGGGCTGGGGATGTGGCTCAAGTGGTAGCGCGCTCGCCTGGCATGCGTGCGGCCCGGGTTTGATCCTCAGCACCACATACCAACAAAGATGTTGTGTCCGCCGAGAACTAAAAAATAAATAATAAAATATTTTAAATCTCTCTCCCCCCTCCCCCTTAAAAAAAAAAAAAAAGGACAATTTCAGCCCTTAGGAGAGGAGTCCTACCCTCTACTCTGACTACAGAGAAAGGGGAAAAAGTCAATGGTCATCAGGTAGCATTTTGAGAAAGTCATTGCTTTTGTAGAAAAAGGGGCTAAGAAGAAAGGACTGTGTGTCCCTGGAGACCAAGTGGCAATGGGGAAAAGAAGCAAAGGTCACTGCAAGACCCTATAAGGTAAAAAGAGAACCCAAAGCTACATGAATACACAATGCACCCCCAACCTTACCCCCAAATCAAACAACAAACCCTTTAAAGAAGCTGTACTTTCCTCGATGACAGAAGAGGGCAGTCTTAACCCAGAAATCCTGTTAGCCACCTAAACCACCAATTCTGCCCAGAGGCAATACACAGACCCAAAGTCAGACTCAAAACCTTTCAGCTTGTGAAAAGCTCTACACTTTTTAAAACCCACAGAACCAGGGGGAAAACCTCTAACAAAATAAACATCTGCCAATAAGCATCTGAGGTCTGAAAGAGACACCTTTAGTCAGAAAATTAAAAACTAAGAATAGAAATGGACACAAAGCAGGAGGAAATGGAACCGAAATGACTGAATTCAGGAAAGAAATGGAAGAAAAAGAGAATCCAGGTCAGAAATAAAATCTAAATTTTTTGATGCCTTTAAAAAAAAAGATTACAAGGAAACTGAATGAAGGACATTGAAGAAATACAGAGAAACAACCAAAAAATAAAAAATAAACATGAGATTAAAACAACTAATAAAAAAAACCAAAAATATAAAGTGATTGAAATGAACTATACACAAAGATCCAACATATGTATAATTAAAGTCTCTGAAGAATAAGAAACATTGAAGCAGAATTAATATTTAAAATATAATTCAAGATAACTTTACAAAAATAAGACTGAAAAGTAAATTATAAAAGGGGACACCAGGTACCTAAGAAAGCAGATCCAGAATAATCATCCCTAGAACCTTTCTAAAACTAGGTTAAAAATCCTCAGAAGCTCCACTCAAAGAAATAAATAAACAAAAATCCAAAGACAAAAAAAAAAAAATTAACCTTCGTCTGATTTCTCAAAAGCTACATAAAAAGCAAAAAGGAA